ATGCAGTGGGGATGGGGCTCAGCAATATCTCTTATATCTCAAGATCTTTTTTAACTTCAATCTTTTGTTCCTGGATCTGCACTTTGGAACGATGGCAAACAGGTTTAAATTTTTTCTGCGTGGCACTCTAGTAAATATTTGAAGGGTGTCAGGATACTCTCCAAATCTATATATATATAAATGGATGTGTGTGTGTATGTATGTTCCAGCATAACTCTGGAACACCTTGAGCAATTTCAACCAAACTTGGTACATAGACGGCTTACTATCCGGAAAAAAAATACTGTGTGGGTAAGACACCCCTAGCACCCCTTGGGGTGGGTGAGTGTGAATCTCTCTGTGTGGGTGTGTTCCAGTATAACTCTGGAATGCCTGGGCCGCTGAAATGAAAACGAATGAATTATATATAGTGTCAAATCATAGTACTTTTGACAGTGTGCATTTTGGATTCAGGTTCTGTTAAGATACAGCCTGTTGTGCCTTAAAATGGCTTCTACTGTACAACACTGTGGAGTTGCCATGGTAATGGCTTCACAGTACTTCACAAGGGGGCTCCCTCTGGTAAAGTGGATTGGGATAAATAAATACCCGGGCAACACCAGGTTATCAGCTAGTCTCAAATATAAAACACTCCTAGCAAAGGACTGTATTTGCTAACATGATAATCACAGTCTGTAGTTTTAACTTTTTATTTTTCTCCACGGAAAGTTAGCACGGGGGGGTGGGGGGGAGGTTCTTAAAAGTGAGATGTAACTCTGGGCATGGCTGGTAGTTTGAGAGAGCTCCTTCTGCTTCGTTAAAATGTTTATAGCCTACTGAATTTTATTTTAGTTTTTAACTTTTAACCTGTAAGTGTTCATCCTGATTTTTTAACCTCTGTTTTATCTGTGCTTCTGTTCAGGCGTTTCTATCATTTTATATTGCAGAATAAACCACCCAATTGGGTGAGATGGGCTGTGTAAGAACTTTAGTGCACAGTTAAGTGAACCAAATGAATAAAAAAGAACTAAATGGCAGGGATTTAAGAGGAACTAAAATATCCGGGCGGGAAATCCGTGTATGCTTAGTACAAGGGTGTCAAACTGGACTTCTTCGAGGGCTGGATCAGCACTGTAGTTCTCTGCGGGCCGGCGAGGGGGGAGGGGCGGGGAACAGGGTGGCAGACCAGATGGACCCCTCTTGCAGCACCCTGCCAGCCAAAACGGGGTGGGGTATGGGGACACACGTGCCCCCTCCCCACGCCTAATTTTTCCCCTTAATGGCCTCCTGTAGCAAAAATGGGCCCCGCGAGGCCTTCGTGCCAGAGGTGGGATTCAGCAGGTTCTGACCAGTTCTGGAGAACCGGTAGCGGAAATTTTGAGTAGTTCGGAGAACCGGTAAATGCCACCTCTGACTGGCCCCTCCCCGATCTCTTCTCTGCCTCCTGAGTCCCCCGATCAGGGAGGAAATGGGGATTTTGCAGTAACCTTCCCCTGGAGTAGCGAAGGAATGGAGATTTTACAATATCCTTCCTCTGCCACACCCACTAAGCCACGCCCACAAAGCCATGCCATGCCATGCCCACCAAGCCACGCCCACAGAACCGGTAGTAACAATTTTTGAAACCCACCACTGCTTCGTGCAGCCCGTTTTTGGCCGGCAGAGTGCTGCAGGATGCCAGGGAGGCCGAAAATGGGCCACGGTGGGGGGGGGGAAGGGGGTGCAAGCAGCCCATTTTGGCCAGCAGAGGCACTGTGGGCTGGTCCTTTGATATTTCCAGGCCGGCCCCACAGGCTGGATTTTAGCACCCCATGGTCCGTATGCAGCCTGCGGGCCTTGAATTTGACACCTCTGGCTTAGTAAGAGGCCTGCAAGAGAGCATATTATTATTATTATTATTTATTATTATTATTATTATTATTATTATTATTAATTATTTATTATTTATTTTTTATTTTTTATTTTGATTTATATGCCGCCCTTCACGGAGACTCAGGGCGGCTTACAGTGCGTTAAGCAATAGCCTTCATACTTTTGTATATTTTTATACAAAGTCAGTTTATTGGCCCCACAAACTGGGTCCTCAATTTACCCACCTTAGAAAGGATGGAAGGCTGAGTCAACCTTGAGCCTGGTGAGAATTGAACTCGCAGTAATTGCAGGCAGCTGGATGTTAAATGCTGCCTCAGTAGGAGGCATTAGCCTCCTACGCCACTCAGGCTCTAATCTTTTGATATTCATGATTTCATTGTATTGTGGAGGCGCCCAGAGTCGCTTTGGATAGTGAGCATAAATTTAATAAAGAAAGTGAATATTTGGAAACATCACGGCAGACGGGGGAATTTTAGTCTACAGGAAGACAGTACACATATCTTTCAGTGGGAATGCTCCTTAAGGAGAGGGAAAATGTTTGTAATGTTTGCATATAACAGCCCATTAACGGTTTGGGAAGGTGATAAATCAAGAGTTTTCTTCTCTAGCCCTTCGGGAGTGCTGGAACTACAGTTCCCAGAATTCCTAGGTTCCATATGAGAGGTAAGAGGGAGTCTTGGCTGGGAATCCTGGGAGTTTAGTCCCTAAGGCAGGACTCCCCAAACTTAGCAACTTTAAGACTTGTGGACTTCAACTCCTAGAATTCCTCAGCCAGCATGGCTGGCGGGGGAATTCTGGGAGCTGAAGTCCACAAGTTTTAAAATTGCGAACTTTGGAGACCCCTGCCCAAAGGGATACTGAATTGGAGGCTAATAATATGTACAGTATTGATGTCACTGGTAGCGTTTTTAATTTGATAAATCCAGGTATGCTTTAATAAGCATGTGTAAATGACATGGAACTGAATAAATTGCACGATCACATTTGAAGTTCATTTATTTTTAAGGAGCAAATTTTGAATGTGTATTAAGCTGTTATCATACAGGTAGTCCTTGACTTATGACCACAATTGACCCCCAAATTTCAGATTGCTAAACAAGACAGTTGTCAAGTGAGTTTTGTCCTTTACAACCTTTCCTGCCACCGTTGTTAAGCGAATTGCTAGAGTTGTTTCGTTAGTAATGGTCACTAAAAGAACGGCTGTAAATTGAGGACTACCCCTCTAGGAAAGAGATTCTATAGAGTAGAATCTAGGTCTTTTCACGTGCAAAGAAGAAAGTTTTCTCCCGATTGAATCCTGGCGTTGCACCACGAAGAAGCCTTTTGCTTCTCACCCAAGAAGCTTCTTCAGTTCTGAAGTTGTATGGTTATATTACTGAAGAACTGAAGAAGCTTCTTGGATGAGAAGCGAAACGTTTTTAAGGAACAAAAACCAAGAAAAGTCCAGTTGCCTTTTGAAAAATCATCCTTCCCCTGTCCTTACCACTTTCTAGAGGGACGATCGAGAGCGTCCTGTCATATTGTATTACAGTCTGGTTTGGAAGCATTACTGCTTCAGAAGGAAGGCAGTGCAGAGAGTGGTGAGGACAGCAGAAAAAATCATTGGCAGTTCACTCCCTTTTATCCAGGACGTGGGCTAGAAGCAGTGCTTGAGTAGGGTCCGTAGGATTGTCTGGGACACTACACATCCTCTTCACAACCTGTTCTGAAGTTGTATGGTTGTATATTCTGAAGAACTGAAGAAGCTTCTTGGGTGAGAAGTGAAATGTTTTCAAGGAACGCAAACCAAGAAAAGTCCAGTTGACTTTTGAAATCTTCCTCCCCCCTGTCCTTACCACTTTCTATAATTGAAAGCATCCCATCATATTGCATTACTGTCCGGTGTGGAAGCATTACCGCTTCAGACAGGAAGGCAGTGGAGAGAGTGGTGAGGACAGCAGAAAAGATCATTGGCAGTTCACTCCCTTCTATCCAGGACATGGCACATAAACGATGCTTGAGCAGGTCCGTAGGATTGATAGGGATGCTACACATCCTCTCAACGACCTGTTCTCCTTGTTACCTTCTGGGAGGGGGCTTCGTGGTACCCGAAGCAGAACATCCAGGTTCAACCAGTTTTGGTCCATATGGTATCAACCTTGTGACTTCTCAAGTTTCTTCTTTCCGCTACGCATTGAAAATGGACAGTGATTAATACATATATGTATACATGTGTGTATATACATGTTTGTGTGTGTGTGTGTGTATTTTATGTATATGTGTGTGGGGTATGGGTATGGGTAGATGTATACTTACTTTTGAGAGCGGGCAACAGAATTTCATTTTTAATGTGTGCCACTGAACTGACAATAAAGGTGATCTTATCTATCTTAAATCCCAAAGGTGCTTTTTTTCAAGAGGCAACAGGACATCTTTTGTTTTTTCCTTTTGAAGACATTTCACTTCTCATCCAAGAAGCTTCTTCAGCTCTGACTGAATGGTGAAGAAGGGAAGGATTTCTACTCCTTGCAGACAGCTGGTCATTTGCATCCTTTTAGAGGGTTGTTGAGGCCACTTGGAAGTTTATCTCTGTCCTCGGGGTCACCTGAGTGGTGCAAATAGTTCCTGTAGTCTGCAATTTTTCTCTCTCTGGAAAGCCATCCCTACTCCACACCATTCCAAGGCTGTTCATCCCAAATTGTATAGCTAAAAGTCTGTAGAGATTTATCTCTCAGGAGGTTTATCCTGAGGATACAGATAAACCTCCAAGTGGCCTCAACGACTCTCTCTAAAAGGATGCAAATGACCATCTGTCTGCAAGGGAGTATAAATCCTTCTATTACCCACCATCCAGTCAGAGCTGAAGAAGCTCCTTGGATGAGAAGCGAAATGTCTTCTAAGAAAAACCAGAAAGTCCAGTTGCCTCCTGAAAAAGCACCTTTGGGAGAACCATGACTGGATGACGGAGAATCTCTACAGACTTTTATCTGTCTTATCTTATTAAAAAGCACCTTTGGGACATGATTGATGGCTCTTCTTCCATTTTCCCGTGTGGTTGGAGCGAGGAAGAATATTTGGGGGTGGACTTCACCGTTCCTTGGGTGGTCTGTGGTCTCCCCTCACGCAAGGCCGTTGGGTCACTGTTGTCCTCTCTTGCCTTGTCTCCGCAGTCAGAAGATCTTGGCGCCTGCGTCCAGTTTGAGAGCAGCCGCCAAAACCGGAACATGATGCCCAGCAACAGCTGCGTCTTCCCCACCTTCAACCTGAGGAAGCCCTCCTCGGAGACGGACATTGAGAACTGGGCCTCCAAACACTTCAACAAGCACACCCAAGGTCTCTTCCGACGCAAGATCTCCATCGCCAACATGCTGGCATGGAGCAGCGAGTCCATCAAGAAACCCATGATCATGACCAGCGACCGCAACGTCAAGAAGGAAGCCTGTGAGATATTCAAGCTCATCCAGATGTACATGGGCGACCGGCGGTCCAAGACAGACCAGCTCAACGTAGCTCTGGAGATCGCCACCAAAGGATGGAGTATGCAAGGCCTCCGAGATGAGCTCTACATCCAGTTGTGCCGGCAGACCACCGAGAACTTCCGCTATGAGAGTCTCGCCCAGGGTTGGGAGCTGATGTCCATCTGCCTGGCTTTCTTCCACCCACGCCCAAGTTCCATTCCTACTTAGAGGGATACATCTACAGGCACATGGACCCGGTGAACGACACCAAAGGTAAGAGGGACTCAACTCACCGTTGACCGGGCCGGGTCCTGGTTGGTTTCTCAGCTTCTCCCCTTCCCCAAAAGGCAGGGTTCAAATTTAAGATCAAAAGAAGACATCTTGGTGGCCAGCAGTGGTGTCCCAGGCTGAGACATAACAGAATTGGAAGGGACCTTGGAGGTCATCTAGTCCAACTCCCTACTCAAGCAAAAGGCCCTATACCATTTTAGACAAATGGTTGTCCAGTCTTGTCTTAAAAACCTCCAATACAGGTAGTCCTCGACTTATAACAGTTCATTCAGCGGCCATGTTTGAAATTACAACAGCCCTGAAAAAAGTGACTTATGACCGTTTTTCACACTTACGACCGTTGCGGCATCCTCCATGGTCGCGTGATCAAAATTCAGATGTTTGGCAGCTGACTCATATTTATGACCGCTGCAGTGTCCTGATCCACCTTCTCCGATGCCAGATTCACAACTGTGTTCCTATCTTAACAACTGCGGTGACTCACTTAAAAGAATGGTCGAAAATATGGGACCCGTGTTTCACTTAGCAACAGAAATGTTAGGCTCAATTTTGGTCGTAAGTCAAGGACTACCTGTATTGGACCACCCACAACTTCTGGAGGCAAATATAGCTAATTGCGGCATGAGTCTCAACAGGAGGTGAGTTTAATGTTTTGGGTGAGATTATCTGAGCCACACAAACATGTCGGCACACTTGTACATTTGTGGTGCACCAAAATACGTGCCATGCTCATATGCTTTGTCAGTTTAGGGGGAGAAAGCACAATATTTATTTATTTTAGAGGAGAATATTGTAGCTCAGGATTGAGCTGTGGAGTCCTTGGTGTTCTCTGAACTTGGAGGTTTTCTTGCTGACATTTCATGACCCAATTAGGTAACATCATCAGTGCTAGAATGGAGGGAGAAGGTGGAGGATGGCTACAAGGTCCTTAGTGCTCTCTGAGCTTGTTGGTTCCCTTGCAGACGTTCCATTACCCGACTAGATAACTGTCAGGTTTCGATGTCATCTCAAATAAATTGCACTCCCAAACAATTAATCTTTGCTGAAATATTCCATTTATTGAGTATGACAGATCTGGCCCCGACTTCGTCGTAGCCGATACTAACCCTCTGACCCCCAAACCCTCCCCTTTCCGTTCCCCAATTCTCCTCTTCTCATTGACCATCTTCCAAGTCAGTCTCCCCAGCTTCTGACCTCAGCCCACAGGAATGTTCCCCCCTCCCATCCCATCTCCTAGGGGATATTATCTACAGAGAAAATAAGTGGGTGAAAAGTCAAGCCTCGTCTTTTTACGGCAGCATCAGAATGCTGACAATAACTTCACCAGTGCCAGGAGGAAGGAGGAGGTGGATGGCTACGGGGTCCTTAGTCCTCTCTGAGCTTGGCGGTTTCCTTGGAGACATTTCATTACCCAACTAGGTAACATCATCAGTGCGAGAAAGCAATTTCTTTCATCTAAGTCCCTTCCAGCACTGGATGATGTTCCCTAGTCAGTTAATGTAACGTCTCCAAGGAAAACAACCAAGCTCAGAGAGCACCGGGGACCCCATTGCTCTATTTATCAAATTATTTATTGATTAAATCTCTGTGCCGCCCAACTGACTATTAAGCCACTCTCCATTATCCTATATTTTCCCAGCCAGCCAGCCATGTTCTGCACAGATTCTCGCCGGCAGGGGGGGAAATTCATCTGCTAAGCCATGACCCCTACCCACTTTTTCAGCTTCTCCCGGTGGCTGATCAGCCTCCGGGATAGGTGGCCATTTGTCTCATGCAGCCAATGGGCCAGGGAGAAATTGTCCCTCTACGAATCATCCAGGACAAGGGGCTAGAGCAGTGATGGCTAACCTTTTTGTCGTCGCGTGCCAAAAACATGCATGTGTGCCTGCACCCATAATGCAATGCGTTTGTGACACCCCCGCCTCCCCTGCGCATGTGTGTGCGCCCCCCACAAACCCGTTTTGGGCCTAGCAAGCCTCCCTGGAGCCTCCTGGGACCAAAAATAGGCCACAGGTAGGTGCGCCCCCCCCCATGGCCCATTTTTGGTCCCAGGAGGCTGCAGGGAGGCCTGCTAGGCCCAAAATGGGCCGGAGGCGGCGCACTGCATCCCCCATCCCCCCCGCGGATGCACGCACCTCCCCCCCGCGGATGCACGCATGTCTCCCACGTGCTGTTCTGCCCCAGCTCCAGATTCCCAAGGATTGTGACACACACCAACAGTCCTTATCAAAGTTATAACGTACCAAGAATAAACAAAGTCCGGCAAAGGTTGGCAACCAGCCCAGAAAACAAGATAACATAAGACACTCACTCTCCAAAATGCTCTGATGATAATTACAAGTTGTTTCCAGCAAGAAACTTACTAACGGCGTGTGACTTAAATAGGCTAAGGGACTGGCCAATTATCGTCAAGCCTTACTCTCGAGGAGACCTCCTCCTCCTCCTGAGTAGCCACTCCTGCCTTTTGGCAGCCCTGCGTGCTCGAGCATTGAGGAGAGGCTCCTCCACTTCGCTCTCTCCACTTGAAGGAGCCTCTGGAGGTTCTGAAGGCCCTGGCTGAGTCTCGCCTCTGGCACCACATCGTCTTCAGCCTCGAGCACCGGCTGCACAGGCTGCTGGCACGACACCACACCAGCCTCTTCGTCGTCAGGATCTGCCACAATCCGCGCAGGCCGCTGGCGGGCCACAACACATGCGCGTCCCCCCCCACCCGCGCATATGCAGCAGAGACCTGAAAATCAGCTGGCCGGCAGGAGGCGCATGCGTAGGTTTACCATCACGGGGCTGGGGGAATTACTGACCAGTGGCAGCGGGAGAACTCCAACAGAGAACCAGCCGAGGATAAACACCCACAACGGGTCAGTTGCGGCTGGGGACTCGTGGTGAAGCGTGCGTGACCAGGAGGCCACATTCAATTGTCCTAAAAGCCAAGGAGATCCATACCAGGGGTGAAATGCTCCTGGTTCCAACCAGATCGCCCGATCCAGTAGGGATGGAGGCGGGTGGTTCGGAGAACTGGTAGCAAAAATCCCTGCCCCCACCCCCCCCATTGCCCAGCTGAGCCGCGCAATCATCAGAGGCTTTTTTTTATTTTAAAAAGCACTTTTTCTACAGCCTCTTTGGCCGAAAAAATGCTTTTAAAAGTAAAAAAAAAAAAAGCCTCTGATGATAGTGCGGCTCAGCTGGGATCGTCAGAGGCTTTTAAAAGCATTTTTTTCTACAACCTCTTCGGCGCGAAGAGGTTATAGAAAAAATGTTTTTAAAAGGAAAAAAAGCCTCTGCCGATCAGGCAACTCAGCTGGGTTCGTCAGAGGCTTTTAAAAGCATTTTTTCTACAACCTCTTCGGCCGAAGAGGTTGTAGAAAAAATGCTTTTAAAAGTAAAAAGAAAAAAAGTTGGCCACGCCCACTCAGTCATATTACCCCCCCCAAGCCACGCCCACAGAACCGGTAGTAACAAACTTTGCATTTCACCACTGATCCATACCTCTCTGCTTGTTGATTCGGAAGCAGGAGACCTTTTCCCTTGAGCATCGGTTTTCTGCTGAGCGCGTCATCTTCCTATAAATGTCACCTGTCGCCGGCTTTGAATCATCCTCCCGGCTGCTCGCCTCCTCCTGCTTTTATCGTCCAACAATTAAAGCTGGTAATCGGTTGTGCCAGGCGCTGTGAGCCCTGGGCTGTTATTTTTTTTATTTTTTTTTTATTTTTTAATTTGATTTATATGCCGCCCTTCTCCAAAGACTCAGGGCGGCTTACAATGCGCTCAGCAATAGCCTTCATACTTTTGTATATTTATACAAAGTCAGCTTTTTGCCCCCACAAACTGGGTCCTCAATTTACCCACCTTAGAAAGGATGGAAGGCTGAGTCAACCTTGAGCCTTGGCGAGATTCGAACCCTGCAGTAATTGCAGGCAGCTGGTCTTAATAACCAGCTTAATAACAGGGTGCCTTAAACCCCTGTACTATCAAGGCTCTTGTTCTAACAGCAAGATCCCTGGGGGATTCTTGAGAGTTGAAGGCCACCTTCAAAGTCACCGAGGTTGAAAAAGACGGTTCTAGCTCACGAAGCAACGGAACGTCCTTTGAGTAAGGGGGTAACAGCCCCCAAACGATTTCATTCAAGAGGTATGGAAATGTCTTTGGCTTTGTCCTTGGTAGCCCCAGGAGGTTGGACTAGAAGACCTCCAAGGTCTCTTTTTCAGTCCTATGAATCTATGACTTCCAAGAGCATCTGTTCATCCAGGTGGCCCTAGGCCAGTGATGGCTAACCTTTTTGCCATCGCGTGCCAAAAGCGGGGGGAGTATGGGGGGGCTCACGTGTGTGTGTGCCCACACCCATAATTATATATACCCTACCCCCCACGCATGTGCGTGAAACACCCCCTCGGTGCTCCCCCCGCTTTGGGCATGCGATGGCACGGGTGTGCCCGGTAGGCCCGTTTTTTGCTCTCCCCAGGCTCCAGAGCCTCCCTAGGAGCCTGGGGAGGGCCAAAAACAGCCTTTCCCATCCTCCCGGAGGCCTTCAGAGGCTGGAAATGGCCCGTTTCCCTACTTCTGGTGGGTCCAGAAGGCCCGAAAATCAGCTGCCCAGCCCGCACATGTGCTTCAGAGCTGAGCTCACGTGCCCACCGATATGGGTCCATGTGCCACCTGTGGCACGCGTGCCATAGGTTCGCCATCACGGCCCTAAGCTCAACCCTGAGGACCACACAATTTCCCAAAATCCTAAAGCTCCTAATTATTGTCAAACCCACCTTCCACAATCCATTGACTTCTAGATACGTTGGCTTGCAATTTCCCGTAATCCGTGGCCAGCACCACGGATTGAATTGAAAGACGCCGGTTGGAGAAGATTTTTGGAGACAGGGCTGTGTTTTATGGAATAAGAAGTCCAAGGCTTGGGATAAATGGTGTCCTCAGAACTTCCCTTGGTCTTCTGGATGGGACAACCCTTCTTCCTGTGTCCTGGAGGAGGCTCA